AGAAGCTGTTTTTCATGGCAGAAATACACTCGGAGGTTTGCCATTGCCTGCCGAGGGAGGACCGCTGTTAAGAAAAAACCTTTTTCTATATTTTTTGGGATGTTGCTTTGACTAGGGTTTGAACCCAGGTGCTGATGAGTGAAAGCGCGCACTGCTTACCACTACACCACAGCGGCCGACTTATTTATAAGTTAAATAAAACGTAATATTGGGTATCAAGTGAAACTATTTTAAAAATCCCCAATTCAGAGATATTTTTAACAGGGTTGCCACTTTCTGCCATCTTATATATATTTAGTTTATTGTTTAAAAATAAAATACAATATTACTATTCATGGGTACTAAAAGAAGGCTCTTAAAAAATTATTTTTCTATGTAGTAAGTGTTATCCCTAAGGATATTGGTTTAAGGGTTCCACTTATTTCCGATTCTACAAAATTTAACTAAAACTATTAACGTGGGTATCAAATAAAAGGCATTTTTAAGAAATTTAATCCAGAAATATTTTTTATGAGGGTTGCCACGTTTTATTTTTGTAATACAAATTTGAGTCTTATTCCCTTAAAGTTGAATTTGGTTTTTAAATAAGTGGTAATCCTCCCACTTGTCGTTTAGATATAAAGCCTTTTCAAAACCATTTCGATTGATACCCTTCTTGTAGGAATTCTTTTAACTCAATTGTATTTATTTTTTTAACCTAGTCGTAAATATTCTCCTTGCCGAGAAGAACACATAAGTGCGCATGTTTCTACAATCGGACCACGGCAACATAGAGTTTATCGATGTTAAACTTTAAGGAGCTTTATTTTTTGTTGTTTTGTTGGAATAACTTGACGTCTTCCCACTCTATTTACTTGATTTTAAACGTTTACAATTTTAAATGTCGTACTACGTATTTTGTAAACATTTTGAGTTAAAATTTTCATAAAATTAATTTTTGCCGCCTAAATTGGTCAAATACCCCTATGTGCAACGGGCCGAACTTCGAAGTGTAAACTGTTGATAGAATAGCATTTTTTCTGAAGGAAATTTTATGAACATCTGTGGCTGATTGGTACTACCACTTCGTAGGAACTGGTTCGATCCGTGGCCCGAGCAACATCTAAATTAGAAAAGGTTTTTGTCTAACAGCGGTCGCTTCTCGGCAGGCCAAGGCAAACCTCCGAGTCCCTTTTTGCCATGAAAAGGCTTCAAATAAAAAAAAACACGAAAATTTTAATTTTTTGCCTTTCGAACTTGTTTTTTTTTTGTCATTAAAAATTATATAAAAAAATGTGGCGCTACAGCGAGATTTCTATCCAAAGACACTTATAAACCAATTTTTGTATTAAAGTCCAAAATAGTGTACTTGGGGAGTTTGGTAATGCTAACTCCTTTATGAATTGAGCAAACCCTCAGTAGAATACAAAACACTCAGTAAATCAGAAAGATTTATGGAAATTCGAAGTTAATGCTAGTAATATGCTGTAACATTAAAGAAAATTAAAAACTAATTTTCTCGGAAAATTTACGTGATGGAATTTTTTATTAATTTTTTTCGCAGCTTAGTACTAAATAATACCTACCCTAATTTTTAATTCGTTTCTCTACTAAATCGAACTTCGAAAAGAGAAAGAGCAGTTAATCTACACAGAAAAATGTATATGTATATGTACTTATATAACTTCTAAAAAAAGCATTTTTTCTTATCTTGCAAAATACGAAATGGTATGACTGAATAGTGTTTATGATCTTTATGAAGACGAACCCTACTTCGAAAAGAATGCGTAAGTTCTCTAAGAATTAAAATTAATAGAAATGTATAAATTCGGTTGTTGCGATTCTGAATGAAGAAAACTTATAGAGATCTTAAAGCTTAAATATGTAGAATATTTGTTCTAACCATGAAATAGTAGAAAAGAAAACCGGATCAAAAAAGAGTCCTATAAAAATATGTCTACAAGCAGAGCCTTTTTTTTAACCGACTTAAAAAAAAAGGAGGAGGTTATCAGTTCGTCGGAATATTTTTATACCCGAGCGCACTTGTGCACCCACTTCCCATATAACAGTAGTTTTCAGAATTACGAAAACTGCGATATTTTAGTAACTACGGAAGGTTATTCACTCAAAATTGATATTTGCTTTAACCTTTAGACGAAAAATAAGAATATTATAAATTTTTGGAAAATGGGCGTAGGCACGCCCACTTATGATTACATGTGTATATCTTGGTAACCGCTCCACAGATTTCTTCCAAACTTAGCACAGTTGTTAGCCTTGGTACAACATACCAAACAGCTGAAAATTTTTAAAATCGGACAATAACCGCGCCCACATCCCTTATAACGGTAATGTAGAGAAATACGACACCCTCGATAAATCAGTAAATACAGAAGCTAATTTATTCAAAATTGATGCTTGCGATAATTCTTTACCAAAAAACACATTTATGATAAAATTTTGGAAAGTGGGCGTGGCCCCGCCTACTTACGACCAGGTTTGTATATATCGATAACCGTTCAATCAATTCGTACCAAACTTGGTACGCTGATTTCGCTTACCACATAAAAGCAAAACGTTAAAAATTATTGAAATTGGACTAAAACTACTCCCACTTTTCCGATAACGGTAAATTTCAGAAATTTTTGAATTTCGATATTTCGAAGTTTAAGGACGCTAAGTTACTAAAAATTGATGCTAACAACAATCCCTTTAAAATAAGTAACATTATTATAGAATTTTGGATAGTTGGCGTGATACCGCCCACATCTGAATATATAAGTTTATTTCATTAAGTATAACTGAACATACTATCGAAATTGTTAGAAATAAACCAGGCTCCTTACCATGTGACGGCAGTTTTCAGAAAGCTGAAAAACTATATTTAATACTTGCGCCGAATATTTAATGTTCGGCTCCGCCCGAACTTAGACTTTTTTAATTGTTTTTTTTTTTTTATGTAGTACATATGTTACCGCATAACTTTGGACCACGTTACCTCAAGGGTGGTCCCATACTAATATTGTTTAGATCAGCTAATTAGATCGTAAAGATATTAACGATAATCTACATGAGAATCGAAGTCGGTTTTGTTTTTTGCTTAAAAATTACTTGAATAATAGATCAAATAAAACACCTCTTTGAGGTAAAATTTTCGCGTGATGAAAGCTGAACCTGAACCTGAAGAAACACAAAATTTATGATATCAATTTAGTAACGAAAATTATACGCATTTTTTTATTGCCTTGGAAACGTACGGAAAATGTTTTTTATTCATACGAATCGTTGCAAAAGTTCTGTTTTTATTTTGTGTTTCTTGCAGTAGACGGAATTTCGCAACGTTCCTAATAAATAAAAAAAGATTTTCCGTATGTTTCGAAGGCAGTAAAAAAATGCGTATAATTTTCGTTACGAAATTGATATCATAAATTTTGTGTTTCTAGTTCTGCTTTCGTCACTCGAAAATTTTACCTCAAAGAGGTGTTTTATTTGATATCAATTATTTTGGAGTAGCAAATTTAAAATCGACGAAAATACAAACAATAATCTAAATGTTTTATTTTTCTCAAATAATTTGCTAAAGATGTTATCTAAATCTAAATTATGTATTCAAATCGATGTGTCCATTGAAACATATAATTTTTCCAATACGGAATAAAGCGAAAAAGAATGATCATATGCTTTGTATTCGAAAAAAGGATCAGTCCAGCGCCTTCGTCTTATTTATTTATTTGGTCTACAGAAAAATGTTTTCTTACAGACAAATGAGAATAGAACATTTAGATATTTAAGTGTTTGTGATATATTACAGAATAATAATAACATAAAATAGCAGGTTTGGTAGCTGGCGAGGCCTAGTCTTCAGTCTACATTTGTGTGCAGCGGGCGGAAAGACCTAGTTTCCGCTCCGCGCTGCGGACTGGCTGTTGATCAAGGTCGGTAAAGCCGGGTTTCCGATCCATGTTCCCGAAGACATTACTTCGTATGTGTGGCAGGCGGAAAGCTCTGGTTTCCGCTCCGCGCTATGAACAAGCTGTTGAACATGGTCGGAAAGAACGAGTTTCCGATCCATGTTCCCGAAGTCATTACTTTGAATGTGTGGCAGGCGGAAAGCTCTAGTTTCCGCTCCGCACTGTGGACAAGCTGTTCAGCATGGTCGGAAAGAACGCGTTTCCGATCCATGTTCCCGAAGTCATTACTTTGAGTGTGTGGCAGGCGGAAAGCTCTAGTTTCCGCTCCGCGCTGTGGACAAGCTGTTGATCATGGTCGGAAAGGCCGAGTTTCCGATCCATGCTCGTATTGTCTTACGCGGTCGCGAAAATATACGAAGCCGATTACAATTGTACTAAGCAGTCATAGATATTGTGTAATTTATCGTTCCCGGTTAAAGATATTAATTTATTTAGTTACAAAAAAGCGATTCACGTTTACGTTTACCTCATAAACTGAACAGAAATACAGTTCACCAGCTGAACGATAAGGTGCAATGTAAGGGTTTACATGTTATTTATTCAAAATCTCAAGTAAGGTTTTCTTAATGGTAAAATGTGAGTCGGAGGTGTCAAAATAGTCGTAATGCTTATTAAAGTCCTGGCATAGGCAACGAAAAGCATCATGCATTTCAAAATTTGTTCTACAAATAGTTAGCTTAATGGGCTTGTAATGTCTAGAAGGCCTAGAAGGAATACAAAACGTGATCTGGTTCAGTAGAAAGGGACTATTGACCATCCCGTTCAAGATCTTAATCATGAACAAAACCCCGAGCATCTCTCTACGGCTGTGCAGCGTTGGCAAATTTATGAGCTTCAAGCGGCTTTTGTACGGTGGGAGATTTAATGTCGAATCCCAAGGCAAATTATTTAATGCGAATAATAAGAATTGTTTCTGTACCGACTCGAGTCTGTCAGAGTACGTTTGATATCTAGGGCTCCATACAACGCACCCGTATTCTAAGATCGGCCTGACTAGGCAGGTAAAGAGAGCTTTAGTGACATAAGGCTCTCTGAATTCTTTAGCCCAACATTTGATGAAAGCCAAGACGCCCTTGGCTCTATTAACACAAGAGTTTATATGGGATTTGAATTCAAGCTTAGAGTCCATGGTTACGCCTAGATCGATGAAATTAGTTACTTGATCAACACTATGTTCACAAATGCGGTAGCTATATCATTGAAAGGGTTTTCTAGAGAAACACATAAATTTACACTTTTTCAAGTTAAGTGACATAGAATTTACTTCGCACCATTTAAGCACATTACTAAGGTCCACCTGTAATTGTTCTCTGTCTTCTGGAGCACCAATGAACTTAAATAACTTAATGTCGTCTGCGTACATTAAGCAATTCGAATACTTCAAAATATTTGGAAGATCGTTGATGAATAAAATAAACAGAAGGGGACCAAGGTACCTTGAGGTACACCTGACGTCATATGATAAAGATAATCCTCTGTTTCCTTCCAATGAAAAAAGAAGAAAGCCAGCGCAGCATGATTGGAGGGAAACCAATTTTATCAAGTTTGTATATTATAGTTGAATGAGATACTTTATCAAAAGCCATGCTGAAATCAGTGTAAATGACGTCAGTTTGATAATTACTTTTGAAACCATTGTTCACATTTGTAGTGAATTCAAGAAGGTTTGATACAGTTGATTTACCTTTACAAAAGCCGTGTTGTGATACATCGATAACGGGTGTTATGGAATAAGATAGTTCTTCCGTAACGATTTCTTCAAATAATTTAGGAATGGCACACAGCTTAGCGATTCCCCTATAATTCGCAATATTCGACCTGCTTCCATTTTTATAAAGCGGCAAGATATACGACTTCTTCCACAAAGAGGGGAAAACTCCTTGCTTTAGAGAAGCATTGAAGATGTTTGTTAATGGCTTATATAGATAATCAGCACAACTTATTAGGACACAGGAGGGAATATCATCCGGGCTGCTTAGAAAAGAATTTTTTAAACTATTCAAATGAAGGAGAACATTGTCAGCGGAGATTGAAGGAATACGGATGTGGTCAAACTGTGGGAGTGGAAAAGGATAGCTAGANTTTTAAACTATTCAAATGAAGGAGAACATTGTCAGCGGAGATTGAAGGAATACGGATGTGGTCAAACTGTGGGAGTGGAAAGGGATAGCTAGAAGTTTTTTCATCTGGCTCGACAGAATAGTTCGATTCAAAATAATTTGCAAACATATCATCAATCATATCATCATCGGTAGAAATAACATCATCTAATTTCAGTGTTGAGGGAAACCAATTTATTTTACGTTATGAGTTAACAAAATGATAAAATGACTTGGGATTAGAAACGACGTTAATGCGAGTTTTATTAATGAAATTCCTGTAACATTTTCTGTTTAAAGCATTGTATTTATGACGAAGGATGGAGTACGCGGTGTAGTGAGAAGACAGGCCTGATTTTTTATAAAGTTTAAATGATTTAGTTTTCTGATTTTTTAAATGCTTTAGCTCTGAGTTAAACCCCAACGAGTTACGAGGTCCGGTATTTTCTTTAATTCTATTAGTTTTCTGAATATATTATTCAAGATTTTACTAAAGTGTAAGGCACTGTTCTCAACATCCCCATCGTACTCAGGCCAGATTATTTCAGATATAGCTATTTTAAGCTTGTCGTAGTTAGCGTATTTGAAAGAATATCGCCGACCTTTCGGCTTTCTAGTTTCAGGACAATAACATGAATCGTAGGATGGTGCGAAGGACAACTCAAGTGGTGGGTGATAAGGGTCTATAGGTATAACTAAAGAATCGCCGCGTATTATAGTGCATTTATCAGTATCATCAATAAACGCTAAATCAAGACATTTACCTAAGTTGTTGATAACTGAATTAATCTGATATAGACC